TTATTTAGTAACTGTGTTTGTCGTTTTTTTTTTTAAATTATTTCTCTATTTATAAATTAATAGTGTCTCGTAACTGCTAAATAACAAGACGATTCAGCCGTCAAATTTGATTTTGTCCAATGCCGGAGTCCAGCGACAGTGTACAAACGTGCTCCGGTGACGGTGACGACCACGGTGACTAGCTACACCAGACCGGACATATTTCGCATCTGACTCAACCCCATGCAACAAACTTGATACTATGTGTTCATTATGGTCCATTCTTCCTCGGACGAACAAGTACATAAGTGGCAATTTAGTCAAAGACGAGAAAACAGCACAAGAAATTTGCCTTATTTACACGTATCGGCAATGCAAGCTGCCCAGCGACTTCCCCTTCTGACGTCACAAGGGGAATTCCTGTATGCAAATGAGAAGCTAATGAGGAGCCTCGTTTTAAAATACACAAAAATAAAGTTTCCGTAGACTGAGTTTAAAACACATTTTTTCACTTAAAAAAAATATTTATGCTTAGAAACATAAAAAATAATAATATTTATGTATCAATGGATAATTTTAGGCGTGAAAATAGCAGCCATTTCACAGGCACTTTAAAACTATATGGCTCCAGACTATGCTTACGTGCCGGTATGCCCATAGTATATTATTGAGATTTGACACAAAAAAACTAATTTTTTTAAATTTCCGAATATTTTAAAATTGTCCCATGTACTTTTCGCTCTGGCTTGCACCGCCATGGTATTTTAAGACTCTTCCAAAATCACCGTAATTGCCGATTTTCCCGAACCTATACACATTTGTTATTTACTGAATACCTGTAGGAAAATAAAATAATCGAATAAATATCGAAATCTTCAAATAAAATGTAATTTCAGGTGAATTATAAAGAGTATTCAAGTATCGTGAATTGAGGTTAAAACACTGCGATAAAGACATTCCGTTTTTGACATTGTGAAATTCTTTCCTTTTTTGGGGAGAAAACTCCGAAAAAATGATTTTGACATGATAATTCACAAATTTATATTAAGAATAATTCATTACGAAATGCACCTATGCATCCATAAATAATTTTCATAATTACTGATTACACAAGAATATTACAGAAAAAAAGATAATTTGCTATATAGTCTATATTTTCGTGTTTATGTAAACACTATACGTTCATTAATCTTCATATTTGCACTCACAAAGACTGAATATAGAGTGAATCACTCTTAGGAGTAATGTGGTAACTATGGTAACTATACGAATGCACCAAACACAGCATAAAACACAGAACTACATAAGAACATAGTGGCAGGTTCAGTATAAAACTACAAGAAATGTTCGAATTAATATAATTATTAACAATAATTATTAATGAAATATCGTGTAAAACCACCAGCACCTATATCAGCGATGTATTTGTGGTGCTCAGCCATGATCTCAAAAGTTCAATTTGCTTACATAGACCAATCAGATTGCCGGGATTTGTATGGTTACGTAACATATTATGTATATATAGACACACATTATATATATATAAATTGGTGTATTATGGGATAGATGTGGTTATACCACAATTATGACACACGGATTGTATTAGGGTCGGACCGATTAACACGGGACCTCGAGCATATATTATATCGCTACAATATGGGATCACAGAACGCAAATCAGATCAAAGAAAGCTTAGAAAGAACGCCCATGTGCTGAGAGTATTAGAAACACATTCAAAATAATTCGATGGAAAAGCTGAAAACTAATTATGCAAATCAGAAAATTAATATAAACAGATTTGAGTGTAAAACTAATGAGGTCTGCGCAATGTTACAAATCATCTGTGTACTAAATTTTATTGAAACGTGATTAGAACCACAAAATTATGAATTATAATACTAATTAGGGAATTAATATTAACAGATTTTAACCCACAACTAATCCATGTACAACGTTTCATTTGAATGTGATGATTAGTACTTGAGATATGAGTGTGAAAGTTGGAAAATGGTTAATTATGCAAATTAGGTAATTAATATGTACAGATATTACCCTAAAAACTATCAGGTCTGTGCAGTGTCCTATGACATCTATGTACCAAGCTTCATTGAAATGTGATGTTTAGTACTTGAGATATCAGTGAAAAAAATACTAATCATGCAAATTAGGTAATTAATATGCACAGATTTTTACCCAAAACTAATCACATCTGCGCATTAGTTCAGAGCATCTATATACCAAGTTTCATCAAAATCCAATGATTGGTTGTTTAGATATCAGTGGAAAAGTCATGGAAATAAATAAACTTGTTTTATTGATCGTGAAGCTGGCTGGCACACAAAAATCAAAACAAATTGTTTGTGCTTGGAGATACTGATTTATTATACTGATACATTGTAAGTACAATGTACGTCATCAATGCAGTGACGTCACTGTATGTGTAGGTCATTGCACCTTAAATACTGTGAAATGACTAATTTCACTGAATTAACATTTCAGGCACCGGTTTTTTTTTTAAATTCACGGTTTTATAATTTAGATAATGTGTTCCATGCTCAATTTTACATATTCACTGTGTTTTATTTAACGCATTTCCCAGTCAGCGAAAATCAGCAAAATTAAAACCCAGTGAATAATTAACCCTTTTTTACAGTATATAATAATGCGCCGTTCCCAGCATAATGCGCCACCTAGCGACGAAGTACTAGTATGTCTATGGACCGCTCTTTCCAGTGTCAACATTGTGTTAGCCGGTAATCATCCGCCAATAAAAAACGTCGTTCTTTGTAATTCACTACATACAAAGTTACGAACAACTATAACACAAATTTTGTGCGTCTGTCGTTTTGAGCTACATTTATTTACATTCGTGTATGTCATTTTGATTTCATGGAAGCGCATCACAGCCGCTAGAGGGCGTGACTTATAGAAAATGTGTGATGCAGGGGATCATGGTAAAATTATATGTACATCTTCAGTTCCATG